ATAACGCATGCTGGTCTATGATGAAGGCCCCGTGTTGGTCCAGCGTAGCATCTGCGTGGCCCGTTGTGGGAGTCCATGCATGCGCAAACGTGTCCAAGACCATCCGCCACAGGCACGGAATGGGCACCTCTCGCATAAGTGGGAAGCGTGCTCTTCGACTCCGGTCCCATTTGGCTTCTATGGTAAATGGATTCTATGACTCCGAGCAGCCCATCCCTTTGCCTGGTGTGAAATGCGGGTAGGTCGTGTGGCGTGCGCTGACAGGCTGTTCAGTCAGTTGCGCCCAATCCCGCATCAGATGACTAACCGGCTCGGACAGTGTAGTGGCGACTGGAAGAGGGTGGAGCTAGTGAGCCCGATCCTAGAGACCCTCTTCTCACAACGCTCAGTGCATATTCCTCACTGCAAACAAGATGATACGGTTTTAAACTACCACGTTGAGCTAAAGGCCCTGATTTGGGAGGCTGCCAACTGACGGGATAACTCAGTCTTCTCATGACAGAGAGTCAGTTTGAAGTGGCTTCTTTCTGATGCGGCCTCTCTTCCGCTTCCACTCAGATGAGATTTGAGACCACGTTAGTTCGGTGAGACCTTGGTCCCATGTGCGCTGTCGAAGCCTGTGTGGTACGCGCAGGCAGTCTCTTTAGCTCTTTCCACCACTGAGCTCGATCCGCCTTCGGTTTTCTTGATCCTGTCTTGACACCGGGGCTCAGGCCAATGAGGGATAAGAGAGTTCGATAGATACAGCACAGCTAATTCGCGCCAAGTCACCGTCCCTACGTCCGCCAGGCTGCTGGGCACATGTTAAATATTATCGGCAGTACCCATTGGATTGGGGGGTTCGATTGGTGTGCGCTGCACTACCTGGCGTGTAGTCGTCATGTGTTCACGTTAGAAGAGGCTCGGACGATTGTAATTATCTAGACGCACTCGTGGGCGTGCCGCAGTGCGGCGCGTCCAGAATAAAAGGTAGCCACGATGAAACTAAATGATTTTGAGTCGACTTGGCCGCGAAGAAACGGAGACAGACTGTGCAATGTGGACGGTCGACTAAAAAGGCCTTCTGTTGGGAGGATTAGCAGGGTGGGCGGAGAGATTGTCGTTTCGTGTAATGTTTCCGCAAGATAATTTACGTTCTACAGTCGCAGTCAGCTGCGTAGAACCAGCATTTTGAGGTCAGTGGCCGTTTCGCAGAACGGAACTTCGTAGAACTGTGTGGATTTGCCTGAACACTGCTCTCACGGGTCGGATGTGGTTTGGTAGCCCCATCTGAAGCAAACTAACCCCAGTCACCTCTAATAGGGGACCGGTGGTAATAGAGTTTTTTACAGGTAGGGCCGGTGGAAAGCACGGGTGCCGAGGTTACATAGTTGTATGCAAAAGAAAAGCTGCTGGGAATGTGCGGTTATACTTTGAATAGGGGAGAAAGAGTTGCGCTAACCCCTAACCCTGACCTCTAACCCTAACTCCTAACCGTTATCCTCAACCCCAATCCCAACAGTATTGTGTCCATCAGGTGGGGCTACCAAACCGCATCTTGCCCTCTTACGCGCAGCCAACGGCCTTTTACTTGCTGGAGGCCAGCCATTCAGCGGTAAAGTCCCAACACGCATCAAAGTATTCACATACCTCGAAAACCTATCGCACATTATGGTCATGCATTCGGTCTGACCCACACACGCCCAAGAGCCTGAGACTTTATTTGCTCGTTCTGTGCAGCATTTAACTCACCTTCTGCTGGCACCCATCTTCCTCCCTCCCCCCCCCCTTGATGGACTGTTGGCCCGAAGATATTGGCAGTCTGACCGTCGCAAGGGACGCGTCCACCGTGTGCCCCACAGAGTAGTAGCAATACCGGTGACTTGCACGTGAATTAGTTTGCAGTAGGCCCGACTTATGCAGCACCTATTGCATCCTCTCTTCCATTATCTACCTTGCTTAGATGAAAGAGCAGTTTCAAAAAGACCGGCGGTGGACGGGGACTCAGTGGTTAATAGGGCTAAGCAACTCAGCTTCGTGTACCATATAACACCCGATCCGCGCAGTGTGATCCATGTTTTCATCAGATTTCCTCCCGATACATACGCCAGGCAACTGAAGGGACGGTTTGGATCGGTCTAAAGGTAGCTGTGGTTAAGGCGCCCTCACGACCTTGTCTGGAGTCGCAATTCAAGCCTGACCTCACCTAAAGTCACGCACCCACTCTGGCCACGCAACGCTATGCTGAACACAGCAGACAAGCTCCGTCAGCCGCGCAACCGGTGTATTTTTGCATCCGGGGAATGTGTGTGTGGGTGTGTGTTTGCATGCATTCTGGTTCGAGGCGGGTGCGACGGGTGGTGTTTGGTCAAAACCAGCTTA